TTTATTAGATTTAATATTATTATATAACTTTTTAAATTATTTTATAATATATAATATATCAGAAGTGATAATATTACTTATAATAATATGTAACTGACTTTGCATATCTCTATTTATAACCGGGTCAATCGGATCAACTAGGTCACCCGGAGCTTAAATTTTGAACCGGATCCTATCTTTAAAATCGAATCAGTTATATAATAATCTCGGTGGTTACATAAGATATGCCGAATAATTATTACTAATTAAACCTAATTATTACTAGTGCTTCGATCCTATATCTGACAGACTGAATCGGTCTCAGACTTAGGTCCGTTATTTAAGTTCTTTGACCAATCCGAGTAAACATCTCTGATTTGGATATCTGGGATCCAGAAGTCGGATTACGGATCGAAGCTCTAATTATTACAAACGCAATTTGAATCGTTATGGGGTTGCAATACCGAAAATATTAGAACGCCAATTTATGCAAAAAATTTCGCCATGTAAATTTCGCGATACAGAAATTTCTCAATCCTTAAAAAATTGATGACATATGTTACTTTGGTCATTAGATAAGGTCCGTATTATTATATTTAAGAATATAAAAGGTCCAACAAAATTTAAAGCATGAAATAATATAGCATATATTCATGATTAGACTGAAAATTTTTATTTAATTCGTACATATTTGATTTACACGTGCTATATAAATTGTCGATCATTTTAAAATAAACTTCAACCATGCTGGCCCTTGTGAATGAAAGATGACTTGATTATTTTCTTTCTGCTCTAACTCTTTTAAAAGATTTCTCTTTTCACGTGCCTTTTGTGCCGATCTATTTTTTTCATAAATTAGTATCATGTTCACTTATATTCAATTAATTAATTGATAATTAATCCATTCATTCATTTAAATATTTACTTTCTCTTTGACTCTAACATCCTCTGTCGTCTTTCTTCATCATTTTTTGGCCGGTTAGGATCATTGTCCCAGCGTGATGCTCGAGGTAATTCAATTTCATGTTTATCCTTAAGATGTCTGCGTAAAATTGATCGTGCATTTTTGCCTTGATAAATTTTACCACATTTTTCACACGAAAATTTCTTGTATTCCCTGCCTGAATTTTCCTTATTTTCGTTAGTCGTCTGTTTATAATTAGTTGATTGTTGTGACGTTTGCTCAAATGAACGTAGCGGCGAAACTTCTGATAACGGTAATAAAAGTCTTGGTAGTGTTGTCGTCTCATATTGTGTGTCTTCACCAAGCGGAGGGGTATCAAAAGTTGTTTGAACAGGTGACGAGTTAAGACTCGTCTCTTTAGGTGGCGAAGCGTGAAATTCCATCGTTGAGAGTTGTTGAAGCTGAGTTGAAAGTTCCTGACGTACAGTCATTAGTTGAGTTGAAAGTTGACGTACTGTCGTCAGTTCTGGCTGTAGCACAAGAGGCTTAACATGTATCGGACTTGGTGTTCCTTGTTCGTCGTCCGTACTAGGTGATGATAGAAACCTTAAAGGTGGTAGTGTTAAATCATTAAGAGATGAAAGTGAATAGAAATTGGTGTTTTGATAAAATGTTTGTGCCGGCATTTTTCATGCTTTGTAAAATAATTTGCTTGTTTATAAGATTTCGAAAACAATCGCGAATTTTTAGAATTGTCGGCCAATTGAAGGTCTATTTATATCTTTACCGGTATTTCATCAGAACGCCAGACGCGTGAAGTTGTGTGAACACTGATTTTATAAATACGCGTTTTATGAACAGTCAGAAATTGATTATTTCTATGATATCAGTGAGACCAGTGAGACCGTCATTGGACAGTATGTGTAACTTACTCACGTGATTATCGTTCTATCTTGGATGATTAAAATGTTTTTAATTTTTGAGCGAAAATATCTCAACAATGACGTGATTAACTTAAATTTTTTTTAATTTAATTCTATAGCTTCATAGAATTCAAATAAAAAAACTCATCAAATTTGATAAGGTGGTGTGGAGATATATTCGATATATTCGTTCAAAGTTGCAAACAACTTAAAACGTCTATCAAATAAAACTACCAAATTTTTTTTCAACCCTTTGAACGAAGGTACAGTATCTCAACTAGTGATGCTGTCATAACGTTTTAACATCACTATGTTTTAGTTTTAACATGTAAGGTTGAGTCAATAGAAATCAAGCAAATTTTTTAAGTAAATTTTTTTAAAACTTTAACTAACAATAACTTTATCAAAATTAATAAAAAATTTTTTAAAATAAATATTACAAATTGTAGAATTAATTTAAAAAAATTTTTATTAAATTTGATAAAGTTTTTGTTGAGTTATTGTTATTTAAAGTTTCAATAAAAACAATTTGTTTGATTTTTATTTATTTCTATGTAATAAAACTAGAATAAATTATACTCTAATTTTAATTCTAGTTATATATCTGACTTGACTTATAATTTTTACTTTCTGGGTTAATAAATAGAATGTTTAAATAGATAATTCATAGGTGGGTTACAGGTATGGCAGCATAATATAGAACTAATCAGATAGTCTAATCATCTGTATAGTGAACTATTTAAAATAAACAATAATTAATCTTGTATATGTAGTTTGTTGTAGTAATTACTAATAGTAGAGATTATTAATATATAATCTTTTTTTTTTTAATTAAAGTAGTTTACTATACTGAGCAGATTTTATTAGTTAATATATGAGGTCATTTGTTGACAATCCTTTATAGTTTGTAATTACATAAAGAGTGTATAACTTGCTATATATACAACTTTAGTTATTGTCTAATTTAAGTAGTTTGCTATACAAGTAGATCTCCTGTTTGGTTTTATACAAGCTGCTATATCTGTAACCTGCTTGTGAGTTATCTATTTAAATACTCTGTTCAACTAACTCATACTAGAATCAACTAATATCATTATAATATCTAACTACTTAAGTTAGCTAGCTCATTACAGATTCATTTATCTAACTCAACTTAGATTCTTTTAAAATATATATTACTCAATATATTGTGAATATGCAGAGCTCTAGTTAATCTTATAAGCATTCCTACTAAAGTAGCTCATGTTCATTTTATGAGTTTATCTAGCTTAGACCTTTGTAATATTTAGATGACTTTAGTTTCTACTGTAACTTTTTACTAATATTGTTTGCTAATCTCTTTAGATGTTTTATGAAATAAATTCTTCTAATTCAGTTAGTTATTAAGCCAAGTTGGTGTTGCTAATTCTCTTTATAGAATGAACTTACTCATACCTAACTCAATCTATATCTTTTGAGTAAAAGTTTTTATTTAGATCAAGTATTAGCTAGTGTGACTATTGAAAGCTATACTACCTCACTAACTCAAGGTTTCTACTATGCAGATCCTCTTTCTATAGATTCTATTAAGATTTATTTGAGCTGCTATCAATAGAAATCAAGCAAATCTACATTTAAAAAAAAATTAATATCTTAACTTTCATAGCTTATATTTCAATGAATTTTAAAGCTATTCTAATTATCTAGTATTCAAAAGAAAGCTTAAATCGTATGCTTTTTTTTGAATATTAATCTATTAAGATAGCTTAAAAATTCATCAATATATAAGCTTTGAAAGTTAAGGTATTGATTTTTTTTCAAATATAGATTTGTTTGATTTCTATTGATAGTAGCCTATTTGTATAATATTATATTATACTTCTAATATTTAGATAATATTAGTACAATAAGATTTATAAGATTATAACTCCAGAAACAAAAAAGTTTACTATAAGTTGAATACAGAAGTCTAAGTAATTATTCAAATTCATTGACAGTAGAATTTGAACTTCAGACCTCTTGTATAGCAGTCTAGCAACCTAACTACTACACTAAGATCACTAGACCTTATTAATATATAATCTTGTATACAAAACTAATAAAATTCTATTAGCAATATAAACTGTCTTAAATACAAAAAAAAAACAATTTTTACTTTTTATTTTATTAGTAAAGTTTTTATATATTTAATAAAGCTTTTTTATTTTACTTATTATAATAGTTAGATTTAATTTTTTTTTTTATAATACTTATTTATTTATTTTTTTTTTTTATTTAGGTTACCTTCTTAGCTAATTAGATTTTTTTTTTTTTTAAATTTGGTAGCTATGCTTCAACTTTATTTAAACAGTTTGTGAAGCAAACTTTTTATATTCAAATTTATATTCTCATATATCTAACTATTTAGCTAAAATTTACTCAGTTATCTAAATAGTATCTTTGTGTATTATGCTATATAATCTTTTAAATTCATACTATTAGATTTAGTTACTCAAATTTTCCTGTACATCAAATAGTCTCAACAACCTAAAAAAAAAAAAAAATTGTTACTATCTAAAAGCTCTAAAGCTAACTAACAAAAAAAACTTTGTCTCAAATTAAAAACTTTGCTAAGTAGTAATATAATAGAATATACTATATATAGAAAAATAAAAAAATAAAAAAAACAAATATATCCTTTAACCTGAACTAGGTTCAAAAATATTGAGTCAGCAGACTTATAACCTATCTCAAATTATTCTTTCTCTAATATTATAATCTATTTTTATTGCCTCATAATAGTATATTGATTGCTATTTGCATCTTTTCATATATTTATAGAACTAGTTTCAACAAAACAAACAAAACAAAATATATATTTCTATATATTTGTTTTCTGTTTTGTTATTCCTATAGTCATGCATCTAGTATAGTACATTTAAAAATGAATATGATAAACAATACTGATCTTTTGTAGATAGAAACCTAAATTTCTTACTTTTATTAATATAGATAAAAGGCTAGTGAGAAAAAGTTTGCAATATATAGTTGTTTTTCAAGACTTTAAAGAGTGTGTAGACAAAATATTTGGTTATTTCTCTGCTTCTTAAGCCTTTTTTTACTAACTTTATTAACAAAGAACTTTGTTCTAAAAGTTCTTTGCTAAAATTTTTTATATAAAGGCTCCATCTCCTGCTAGTTATTTTATATAATATTAATTTTAGCTTGCATACTGAATATATAAAGAAGTCTCTAGAGAGAAGTAGAATCCTAGTTAACCTTTATAAAAACTGTTGTTGTAAAAAAATCTTTTTCATCATACTCTAATGAAATTTTTGTTTTTTGCTTTTTCAGTTTTTTTTTAAAAAAAAAATTATCAGAAAGAGTTGATTGATAATAATTAGATTTTATTAATTTTTTATTATGAAATTATATATATAGTAATTTTCTAAATTTATAAGTACAATATAAGTATATAACAAGTTATATATACAACTTTAGTTATTACAAAAAATATTAATACACTCTCTCTAATAATCATTTGAACCAATTTTTCAAAAAGCTAAACAACAGAAAAACGATATAGTTAATATATTAACCTTCAAAAAAATCTTTCTAGAGTACTATACTCACATAGTTAGACATTAAAATAGAGTTAAAAAAGAAGTCTCAGCTTTGTGAGATAGTTTAAAACACTTTAAGACTATAGAAGAAGTAGTTGCAAAAACAAAAGTTTTTCTTTTAGATAAACAACAAAGTTAGATATATTAGTTCTATACAACTGTAAAACCTACAAAGAATACTTGCAAAGGTTTAAAGACTCACAAAAACTACAAAGTTAGTTTATCTTTTGTTTTTACTTTTCTTTGAGGATTTTCTAAAAAGTGAGTATTTCAGTTTACTCACTTCTAAAAATTGATATGTAAAATCTTCAAAACAGTTAGCAGTGTTTACTTCCTAAACAGGTTTGTTGATGACTTAGGTCAAAAACAAAATAGTAATATAAACATAACTATATATATACTTTAAAGATACTAGAACTCTAAAATACTGCTTCTGAACTAACTAGTGATCTATACTAATCTTCTATGATCAAGTTGAAGTTTTTTTCTTTCCTACATAGTTTTTTGATAAATATTTTATTAAATAAGAAAATAGTAGAGTAATTCTTATTTAGTATAGTCTATAATTTTTAAAGCTTATCACAGACTTAAAATGTAATCATCTGATATTTGTAAAATACAAATTTCATATTTCTTTTTCTTTCTTTATCTCTTCCCTTTTTTATTTCTTAATTTGTATCTTTTATCATCTACTCTTATACCTCTTTCTTTTATATTTTTAAAAATTTTTTTTGTTTTTTGCTTCCCTATAAAAAAATATTATCAGATTAGCAGTATGCTGTTATAGAGCAGCAGTTAGACAAAGTGGTCTATTTATAATATAGATAGTACAGCAGGTTGTATTTAGGTTCTATATAGGAACTAGATAATGCTAAACTTAGAAAATTAGTTAATTCTTTGAAATATGTATAGTATTAAGAAGTTTAATAAAGTATTAGCATGATTGCTAAAAGTAAAAAAAAAAAACTTTAGTTATTATCTAATTTAAGTAGTTTATTATAGGTTTGAATTAAAATCCTAACAAACAAAATTCTAACAGGTTATAATTTTGACAAAAAAATTCTAATAATTAAAAATTCTAATAACTAAAAATTCTGATATATTTCTAATAATTCTGAATTAAATATATAATAATTTTATATTTAATTCAGTATATTAAATTCTAGTATTTATATTAATTCT